ACGTTTGTATTTTCAAATATACACAGATGTATTGTCTATTGTATTCTTCACAAGATCATTATCAAGCATTGCCAAAAAACAAATTACAAATTTGTTATGAAATCCATCTTTAGTAATTAAATTCATGTCTACAAGCTTATTTCTGTTTAAACCCAGATATTCATTAGTTCTGTTTGAACTGGATAAATGTTTTCAACAGCAGCAGTGTTCTGTAAGTTGCTACCATAAAAATTACTTCTCAGTGCAGATTATAGCATGATGGTACTCATTTCTTGCTTTAGTAGGATAAAGGTTCAGATAATACATGCAACTGAAAAGAGAAGATACTTTTCAGTATTCAGTTGATTTAGAGATACCGCAGTTGAATTAAATTGTTTAGACTTATATCAAATAATAAAGCAGCTGCCGTGAATTGCACTATAAGAAAGATTCCAGTTGCTTCTTCTGATGTTAATTGGACACAATCAGTTAAATGCATCTTTGTAATTATATCTAAAATTAGCTTAGCCCCTGCAGGGAGTCTTGTAAATTTGTCATCACGTCAAGCTGACAACATCTACGGCATTTAAAATTTCACTTCAATCTCCTGTGACTTATCTAGCAAAGCAATATTTCTGTGTCAGTGCAGAATGGAATCAGTAAGAACATCTGCATAATTTCAGCTCCCCCTTTCTTCATCTATTTGAAGAATATCTTTTACAATTTTCTTTCAGAAAATCAAGCAGACAGGATATTTGCTATTGCTGATAATTCTGCAACAGAATCGTTTTTTAAGCTGAGATACACCTGTTGGAGACCCTGACACTGCATTAATATTACAATTCCATCTATCTGAAATGACTGGAAGGAACGCAAGCACAGATAGAAATCTATGGAGTACTCATACCACTTGGCACAATTTTGAATACGTCATGCTAATTTTCATTCAATTCACCTGTAAACTTTGCTTTCCAGACTTAAGATGCAGATGCTGGAGATTGCCAGCACAGTAAGAAAAACACTTAAAAAGAGGTTTCCTACTTTAAGTAATAAGCCCACTATTATTCACACATGAATAAATACAAGCAGGTAAATAGAATGGTTCTACAACAGTAGTCTCAACCTTCAAAAACAGATAAAATGTATGTGTAAAAAGGAAAGCTGTTAAGTGATTTTATTATTATTAATTTATATCACAGTATTTTTTGCTTAGCAACTAATGCCTAGGTTAACCGTATTATTGAAATGCATGCAGCATTTCAATAACTGTTTATATCTGTAGGCCCAAGATAGCCAGGCGTATTCTCCAGGCATGAAATACAAATCTAACTTGAGAGAAGAACTTTCCCTAAGCTCTCATTCATTTTCTAATGGAGATGAATAGTGATGAATTATTGAAATCCTCATCGGAAATTATTTTACCCACTAAAAGAAGAGAACAAAAAAAGAAAGAATTTAATCTTGATTCTGACATTGATTTCTTGAGGAAATTGTAAAATTTGTATCTATATTATGAGAAAAGAGGGAATAGTTACATTTACCTAATAAATGGTATCCTTAAGTGCGCTGGATAGGCAAAGCACAAATGGCCTCTGGCATTAGTAGAAAGAGAACGCAGGAGACTGTGGTTTCCCTTCCCTTTCTCAGTGCACTATCTAGTTTTGCAGCAGTTCCTTGCAGGCAGGTTTTACACTCCAGGTATGATTGCATATAGCTGTCAGAAATTAATTGCAGTACTCTACACATTTATAGAAGGTAGCAGAAAGAGGAGAGAAGAAAGACAATCTATTTACAGATCATACCTATGATCAAAATATATGTGATAAACGTTCATCTGAGTTATCTAACTCTAACCATCCAGTTTCTCTGAGAAAAGTTTACTTCATATCAACATACGCAAGGCAGTTTGAAATAAACAATGTCCTCTACTTTTGTTCATATGCAAAGAAATGAAGACAGAGGAAGACAGGGAAAGAAAACTGATTCAAAGCTGGGAGGTGCTCTCAAAATTGAAACACAATCAAGTGTAGAGGAAAAGTAATACCTGGAGTATCAATGGTATTGATAACGCAAAGGTGGAAATAAAATTTTTTAATGATAGGAAAAAAAGTACTAATCAATACAGTTAGAAATCAAACACAGACATGTCTTTAAAAATGAACTGGAAAGTTGTTTAGATGTCTGTATGTGGTTTATTACTTTGCCACTTAGGACACTGGATGTCTAATAAATATACTGAATTATGAGTCCATAAAAATATTTATTTGTATGACATGGCTGTTAAGATAGAAGCTGCCAGCCTTCTGAGGCTTCAGACAGAAATTTCAGTGGCAGCTTTCCGGAGTCATGACACAAATGAATAAAAAAAATCTAATCAAAGAATAAAAGCAGCAGCTGAGCTTTCTGTTCTGATGCTTCCAAGACAGAACATTTTAATGATTCATCGTTGAACACAACCTTGCAAAATGTCAGTAACAGCAGAGATGACTTCATGCACTAGCAGTACCATGATTTACATTCTATTTTACCTCCACCTTATCTGAAGTTCACATCTCCTTAGTATCTCCTCTCTTAAATCCTGTTCAGGAGCTCACAGTCCTGATCTAAGGGGCTACACAGGAGACATGCCAGATTGTAAGGACCACCAACAGCTGTTTCAGAGATCACTGAAAATGTAGCAAATATTCTCACTGTATTTGTTATAGTGGAGAGCTCTGAGTCCACCCCATTAAAACCCCATAGCAGTGGAAAGACTTACTTTGCACAGTGGCTTTACCAAACATTCAGTTAGTCTTTCAGCAGCCAACAGAAAATTCCCCAAGGAAGATTATGGAAACAAAGCAAACATATTTATTCTTCCCTGAAGAGTCACCCGGCCGCAAGTGACCAGTGGCTCCGGAAATTCTGGAGTTTGAGGTAATATCCTTGGGATTAATTGCTCTTGACGACTTTTTCATCTATGAATCTGTCTTGTTGCTTTTCTGAATCCATGTAAACATTGGCCTTTGTAATGCATTGCGGCAATGAGCTCCACTGTTTAACTATATGTGGTGCAAAGAAAAAACTCCACCTTTTTTTAAATCTAACATTTTATAATTTCATTTTATAGACTTGAATTCTTGACCAAAAAATAATTCTTGAATTAAAAGAATTAATTAAATTAATTAGTCAAAGTTAGTCAAATTAAAAGTCATTCCCTCTTCATCTTTTATACGCATTCCTATCACATTTCCCCTCTGTTTTCCTTTTTCTAGGTGGAAAAGTCCTAGCCTATTAAATCATTCCTTGCACCCTTAGTCATTTTGTTGTTCTTAGTACCTGTATCTGGGACACAGGGAATGAGGAGGTGCTGTCTGCTCTCCAGCCTAAGATCCTCAGTCTAAGTGGTTAGTGAGCTCTGAGCAAACCAGACACAACGTCACTAGCACCGCTTCCTTTTTTTTTTTTTTTTTTTTACATGTCTATTAAGATCTCTAAGCATTGATGATTTGCTCAAAATAATGTTTTCTGATGAAGCAAACACTAGGCCTGCAGGTGACTTCCTGGCTGGCTTGAAAGTGAGTATCTCTACCTGTCATACAGTGTAAACTGTAACTATTTAGCACAGACAGAACTAACATTTATGACTATCAGATGATCACTCTAGTGAGAATTAACATTTTGGGACTGCTCAGTCCCAAAATGCAGCTGATGCAGCTATCATCCTCTGAGATGAGGGTAACTCACTGGCACTGAAAGTCACTTGGGATGATGCTTGTTCCTAAATACAAAGCAGGTTACTAGGCAGTCCTTATTTTACCTTTTCCATACAGCTCTTTCCTCTGCTCCATTCTTTCACAAGCCCTATTACCTACCCTATTTAGCTGGATCTCTCTGTTGCCTGACCAGAGTGGCTTGTTCTTGCAAAATCAATAGCGTCTGTAGGGGTTTTATTCCATCCTCCCCCTGGATCTTTAATAGACGCTATAGAGCTTTCTATGTCTTTAGACACCTTTGTTTCTATTTCAATTATCTGAATGGACAGCTTTATTTTTAAAAGGTTTCAAAGGAGTAGAATTTCACAACCTCTACTCTAGTAAACAACAGCAAGGAGATAGTGAGAATGCAGAACGCTAGATGTATTTTTACCTTTGTGTTAAACCTTCCCGGTCTACAGAGAATTTTTTTTTCCTTATCTACCAGTTAAAATGGGATGTATAACCTAGTCAAATGCCAGCTATAGTAAGTAAAGAATACTTTGCTCTGAACTCTTTTAAATATGTATTTTTGTATGTTTTGCAGTACTAGTCCAGAGGCAGATTTGGGGTAAACCATTTTCTTAGCATATCAGACACCAGAATTCAGCGTTGCCTTGAAATTTCTCTAAATTGTTTGTTTGGCTTTTGGTTTTTGTTTTTTCTTCTAGGAGGTATTTTATAGGGCCCTCTTTCAAGACTTCCTTGAAAGTTTTGTCTGGATCTGACAATTACTCTGCTATGGGATGAGCTGTTATGCTAAGGAGGAGAAACGGGGAGTGACCAGGTCGCATTTTCAAAGAATGTCCAAAATATGTGCAAAGGCAAAGGCAAGGGTATATGAGAGCAGGTACTAACGACGGAAACTTTCTGCTGAAAAGCAGGATGCTGCCTGTGCTTCCTTGGTGTTCCTGTTTTCAGTACCCTCACCGGTGCCTGGAATTAGCTAGGGCTTTGATACTTTTGCATACCAGGCTGGATGCTATTGCAGTAAAACATCTTTAGCCTTGAGCTGAGTTTAATATCCCTACCTTAAACAATTACAGATATCCTCCAAAATCAGAATTTGACCTACAACTCCTCCCTTTTAAGAGAGACCATTCAGCAAAAAAAGGTCTCTCACTGCTTTATGGACCACATGGACTCAGTGACCACATCTATGAACCCTACTGATATCTCTTGAGAGGTAAAGGGGAAGATTTGCAATGAGGAGGATCAGTTACGAGGTTCACACAAAGAGACAACAGCTTTAGGTTTAAAAAGTTTCAACAAGAATATAAGACTAACCATAAAACGTCAGATGAAAGATCCAACTAGTCCAGTGTGCTGTACTTGGAATCAGCAAATATTGAACTCCTAGGGAAAAGCATAAGAGAGGCACGTATTTCCTAGGAATTCACTCCTAGGTTTCAGCTAGTTCTTCCTCTGAAATTTCCTGCACAGTTGACATCTTTTTTTTTTTTTTAAATAACCCTAGCTCAATGTTTTTTCTATTAATTTATCCAATTAGTTTTGAACACATGCAAGCTTCCAGCATCTCCAAGAGCCTATGGCAAGGAGTTATATAGCTTAACTATGTATTTTGTTTCTTTTTGTTTATTTTCAACCTACCCTGAGCAATTTTCATACAAACATAGCCATTTTGGAGAAGCTATGGATAACTGTCCAGGAAAACAAAACTCTTTTTTTTCCCCCCCCAAAAGTCTTAAACTTGACTCCTATTTTCTGTGCTCTACAGTTCCCTGGACAGGTTAGAATCCTTGAACCTCAGTTATCTAATATAACAGATTATCTCAGACAAGAACAAACCTCTCAATAAATTATCTGAAACTCTTCAGTGTCCCCCATTAAATCTATATGATTGAAGTTCAACTGTAATTAGCTGTTACTCTAACAAGATCGGTTAGAGCAATTAGAGTAGTACTCTCTGTTTCGGATATTTACCTCTGTTAAACCTTTCCCAATAGCCAGCAGTATTGAAGTTTGACACTTTGTTTCTGAAAGAAAAGAGAAAAACATCTTACTAATTTCATTGTTATTTTTTTCTTCCAAAATCTACATCCTCCTAAACCTTTCTAGAAATTTTTCTTCCTTTAATCCACGCATAGCTCCTAGGGAGTTGTTTTCCTCTAATTTAAAATCTGCCTATGACCTGCTTCATACCACTACTGGTCATTTACTCTAGCTTCATTTTTCAGGATATCAGGAAATAGATTTAGGTGATCCATATAGCAGCAGTGCTGTCTTGATAATTATGATGGTCTGAAGATATATGACGCAAGGTTATATGTTTAATGCAAAATACACTTCTCCTTGCAAATCTTAACCTTGCTAAGATAGTCCTATTACTAATAAACACAAGACAATACAGATGCCAACTGTGCCTACTGGGATCAGCAATTTGATTTTGGGAACGAGGGGAATCACAGTAGGAAACTGGAATAAATAATTTAGGAATTTTTTTTTCCTGAAGATCAAGATAAGACATTTCCAGGGAATACTGATACCAGTAGGTAGCATATTGATGCATACAAGGCTAGTGAGTTAGGTCTTACACATCTAGGCCTGCCTAAACCTTTAGGAAAGAAGCTAAGCCTTAAATAAGTCATTGTAATATTAGTTGTCCAAAAAAATCAAGGCCTTTTGGTAGCCTTTGTTACTGCAGTTAAAATTAAGCCATACTCTGAGGAAACTTCTGTATCACTGCAGTCTCACTGGTCTCAGCTCTCAAAGGAAAGATTTGCAGATTACCAAATGCAGAGTTAAAAATATTGTTATTTAGTGTACCACGCAGTTATAAATGTTAGAGTAAAGGAGAACAACTGCATTCCAGCTGAGAGTAAAATGAAAACATGAAGCCCAGTATCTGAAAATGGTACACGCAAGAAGATCTAGAAAGGAGATGAAGGAGCATTTAACTCTGTAACAGCGATACTTCTAAATTTTAAATGCATCTATCCATCTCTAAGCTCAGACTCTTTGAAATTTCTTTGTTATTTGTCTGATAATAAATTGCTCTAAGCTATCACATCAGTGTCACATAAAGGAGTGTTCCCTGCCTGAGATGCTTTTGCATGGCAAGTCAACCTTGTACAGGTTCTCTTTGACACCACATCATAAGCACATAGTTTTCTGCCATATTTCTCTCATTCTAGATCTCTTTCATTATTACTCCATTTATGTGAGTCTCTTCCCACTAGAGATACTGATGCCAGGGTTTTGTTCAACACAATTCAGATCTTTCCCAGCCCTCTCCCTCTTCCCTTAACCCCCACTAACTTTCCTCTTATTTTCTCAGATCTTAACTTCGTAATTTCTTAAAAGTACCACTTTATTATCTCTGTTCCATCTAGCGCGTGCACATCTCTCATTTCAGTACCAGCCTCAAGTTTCATTAAATTATTATCAGCACTCTCTCTGAGTTCTTAAACAAGGAGACATTTAATAAAACCATTCCTAATATCAATTTGCAGGATGCCCCCTAGGGAGATAGCTGTTTTTCATTACCTATTACTTTCACTGTTCTGGCTAGCTTAGGATATATTAATGTAACCCTATTCAAGCTAGTCCATACTCATTTTCAGCTAAGACTTTATATGAAATTCTATCAAATTTCAGTTAATATTTTTTGTGTCACTTCCTTCTCTCTCCCTTTTATATTTCTACCACGAAGCAATCAAAGTTTGATTGGCAAGATATGCTCCTATTTAAAAAGAAAGAAGATGCATAATAATCCTTGTTTTCTGCTTTGCGGTGGTACTATTAGACATACCTATTAATGTTTCTCACTTGCTCTAATACAGTGAAAATCAGTACCGTTGAAAAGCTTTTCAGGAACTAGTGCAGCAGTTCTGTCATTCCTGCCTAGATTTTGAAAGGTCTTGTCTGGCCAGAAATGTTAGACCAATTTAACTAAAACCCGCTTTAAAGCTGATTTAGTTGAGCCAATATATATTAATAGCGAACAGTCTTAAGTTCCAATTGCAAATAAATTGCCATTTAACGTTTATCTCCTAACAAGTAAACCAATGAAGAACAGACTTAAACAACAGTAAGTCTCTCACATAACTTTGCACCCATTTCATTATAATACCTAAAAAAAAAATCAGTTATAGTCGCAAAGTTATCTGCTTCTCTTTCCCCCTTCTCATCTCCATAGCACACCTTTTAAAACCTAGGCCTTCCCTGCCTTCCCTTCCTATCAATCATCTTGTTCTTCCCCTCTTGGATCCAAACGGAGCGCGGACTGTTGGATGTTCTCCCACCTGAGCTTAGGTCAACTACGCTTCTCTCCTGCCAGTTTCACCGGGACTGTTCAAGGGAGGGGAACCCAACAACAACGGACAAACCAACACTTTCCATTTTGGGTTTGATCCCATCTAGCCTATTTTTCTATCTTCCAAAAACTAGTTTCTTCATTTGTGTACCACCATATGAAATCTCTTGCTAACTCAGATGGATTTTGCCACAGAGCAGGATTATCTGCAACGGATTTTATGAAAAAATGTATTAATATTAGATTATCCCACCATTAACATACTGTAATAATTTCCTGGATGGCCATTTCTTCCCTGTGAATAAAAGATTTTTAAATGGAGCGTATGAACATCAAATTTTCTTTGTTGTTTAACCCTGTTTTTTTCACTGGAGGTTGGACTGGACATCTGAAATTTCTGTGATTCTAAGAGTGCCACTCTGGAAGTGGAACACATACGTTATATCACAAATATAGAGCAAGATTCACCTTTTAATTCAACCTGCACAGTGCTGAACGTAACACAGGTCTAACAATCCAGCATCACCTTCCTCTTTCCTTTTAAAAAACAGCTAGAAGAAAGACCTTTCTGCTACAAAAATTTATGAAAAATAAAGTTGGTTAGTACGCGTTACCAGCAGCTCTGTCGCCAGGTCAGTGTTCTTCAGCTCCCTTCAGAGCACCAAGCTGAGAGTTAGGTGTCTGACAAAGAAGAACTAGGCCAAATATTAAATTTAGCTTCTCATACTGCTTTGTTTTAGGAGATACTGAAAGTTCTACTCCAAAAAGGACTACCATCAGCGAGTCTTTCCTTCAGTCCCCAGTGCTGCTGAATGAGGATGGTCGGGAACAGAAGGGGCACGAGGACCCAGCTCCTCTGGCACTCACAGCCTGACAGGCTTGCCCTGGGGAGGCAGGATGCGGCCACGGAGGCTGGAGCAGGCCCCAAGGAGGAGGGCTGGGAGGCAGGAGAAGGGGTACTGAGGGCCCAGGCAAGAGGGCCGGCAGGTAGACTGTGAGGTCACTTCTGTTGCAGCAAGCTGATTGGGCAGGACCAGCAGGTAGGCACTGTGAGGTCATCAGGTGCCTGGGGCAGAGGGTGGTGATTGTGAGGTCACTTGTCCCCCAGCTCCTGAGTGGCCAGTAGTGGGAGGAAGGCACGTGAGGTCACGTGGGGCATCAGAGAGCTCCGCCTGGACAGGCACTGGGGAGGAGAGGGGATGTGAGTGGTAACTGTAGACCACTTCTGCTACACTGTAACCCCAAACTCTACCTCTAAACCTACCCTCACTCTCTTTGGAAGTGCACACAAACATAAAATACAGTCTATGACTCAGGCCACATCTTCCCATGTCAACTAAAAACTTGTATTACACTTCAGTGTGAGTGGGATCCCAGCATTTAATTTCTCAAAATGAAGAAGGAACGTGTCCCATTCCTTTAGCTTTCCATCTGTCACCTGTGATTACATTTTCTCCACTTATTCAATGCTGATGGAAAGGAAGGCATGACTGAATTCATTGCTGCCTACACTGCATCAAAAGCAGTATGCTTGGGAAAGAGCTGCTAATTCCAATGTGATATATGCAGCCTGCAGTCAGGGAGTCAGACAGGTAGGTGTGGAAGAAGGGGTCCATATAGTAATTTTTCCTAAATCCAAGGACATTCTTATCTGTACTTATGCCAAATATGATCTGCCTGTGATATGAAAAGGTTATAAAGCACTGGTTGTTTTTTTCCAACCCCATGCATCTATTGCATTGCTGACAACATTTTCCTCCCCAAAACACACTTTGATTCCAAAGCATAATTTCAAAATACAGCAAAGTTAATGGACAACAGGCTTATTTTAAGGTGACAAGCTCTATGAGCGGAGAAGTACCCTAGTCATGAGAGATCTGCAGCGGAGCAGGTCAAGAATCCTACTCACGGAACACCAATATTGTTTAAAGCAATATGCAACCTTTCCTTCACTTGATCTTAAAGAAAGCCCTTGGATAACTAATCTAAGCAGAATGTCAAGACAGTGCTTTTGCAGCTCTAAGTATCTGCTTTTGCAGTGGCTAAGGCTCTAAAAGGCAGGAAGAATCTGAAGGGTAACTAGAAGCTGTAGGTTTGGGTTGCAAAGAAGATTAAGGGAGGAGACCAGGGCAGAAACTCTGAAGCTAAAGCTGTAGATTTACTCTGTGACTTTGGATAAGTCAGTGAAGAATTAGATACATGGAAAACCACTTGTAAACAAGAGCTAATATCTCATAAAAGTATTGCAAAAATAACAGTTAATGACTGTCATGTAGATAAGATACTAACAAGCACTATACTCCTAGAAATTTGGAATTTTTTTTAAAGACATGAAAACTTACCAGAAGATATGCTTTCTCTCAAGATAAAACATCATCTTGAGAGTAGACCAGTGACTTGGTCTACTTAACGAAAAAAGTTTGTGCTTTCACATATTGCAAGAGCTTTCCACAACATAAAAGACTGAGCGAACATGTTCAATAACCACATAGTTTCTGTGTATACTTCCAAAGTCATATCTTCTTCATGCTTCAGAAATCACAGGAATATTTCATATTACACTTACTAGACCACATATAGATTAATAAGAACTTTTCCTTAAATTGTAAGGAAACTAACAGTATGATTACTATCAGCAGATGTCTTCTAAAGGAATATCAGAACCAGATGTGACAATCAATGAGCAGTTTGTTTGGTGAATGACAATTCTACTCTCTGTTAAC